TGTAAGATTAGTGATGTCATTTTCTGGAAAGCTCCCCTCGCTCTCGTTCCCGACACTAGATGGCGCTAGTGCAGGGTACATGACGTCAACTTAGGCGCGCAACAATATGTATAATATAATGGAATAGAAGGTACTTTGTTGGTAATCAAGAAGTAGAAGGTACCGGAAGGAAAAAAAGTAGGACTATCTGCAAAAAGAAATGAGATGCCATCAAAAACATAACTTGTAAAGAAAATCAAGTCTCACAACTCAGTTCTTCTATTGTAAAAAGTTGTAAGATCCATGTTATACCAAGTCGGTTAATTTATTCAGTCCCGACTTAAGGGTCCTTCTGTCTTAAGTTATTACGTATTTAGCTACCATAACAACATCTTATTGTGACCATATTAATATTAAAAATCTTTTATGTTTTAAATAAATAGATTGACTTGGCAATCGCTCTAAGCAATCGAATTTAATATAATATGTATTACTTATTTATTTATATGGTCTACCAACGACTGTTACATTACAAAAACTTAAAGTAGTTACATTGTAATAAACTATAATGAGCTAAATGCACAATCAGTTACAGGTAAACACAACGTGCTATTTTAACTGTAGGTACCTTTTACATTGAAATAAGGTTAATTTTAAACTAGTTATAACAGGTAAAAGATAGGTGTTATTAATCTGGGATTTTTTTAACAAATGTGCACGAAACTGGTTAAGTTTAAGAGAGAAAACATACTTGGGATCATTAATAAACCACGTATTAAATGCGTTACACAGACGAGGAACTGGTGAATGTTTTCCTAAAACAGTCCTGCGGAATGGTAGATAAAACAGAGAAACAGGTTTCCTTGGAACCCTGAAGGGGATCCTGAAATTAAAAAGGTTTAGAAGCTGAGGGCAGTCAATTTAATTATTAAAAATTTTATAAATGAATATTAGGTCGAAAAGGGTCCTTCTTTTATTCAACGAGGACATTTTAAAGTGTTTGAGGTTTTCATGATAGGATAACTTTTTCTTTTAAACTTTGGAGATGTGAGATAGATGCCATAAAAAGCGTTTTTGGACCCGTTCTATTCTTAATATGTGCGTGGCATAGTGTGGCCTCCATACAACAGGGCAGTATTCAAGAAGACTACGTACTAGTGCTTTGTACAAAGTGATACGTGTCTGTAAGTTTTTGAAAACTTTACTGTTTCTAATAATAAAGCCCAGCATATTAGATGAGCGCCTAACATTGCTTTCGATATGTGGTACGAAAGTTAATTTGTTATCTAGAATTATTCCCAGGTCCCTAATTCTATCAACTTCTTTTAATGGTTTGCCATCAATATAATATTTGGATTCAGTTTTAGTATGTTTGCGTGTAAATTTAATAAAAAGGCATTTATCTATGTTTAATTCCATTCCATTTGTACAGCACCAATTATATAACCTATTTAAATCATGTTGTAACAAGAGAACATCAGCTTGGGACTTAATAGTTCTGGCAATTTTCAAATCATCTGCGAATACATAGGGTGTTGATGAAAGGAAACTATTAGGCATATCGTTGATATATACGTTAAAAAGAATTGGCCCCAAATGGGATCCTTGAGGAATTCCTGAAGTTATCTTGTGAGATTCAGACTTATAGCTTTTAGCAACAACTAAGAAACGTCTATTTGTTAGATATGAATTAATCCAGTTGGCAAAATTTCCTGTAAAGCCATAGGCAGCAAGTTTGTCTATAAGAGGTAAGTGGTGTATAACCATTGGAGACCAGATTAATTTTACTTACTATGATTAATTATTATTAATAGAAAGAGTTTTTCCCGGTTGACAGTACAAATGGGCGTACCTCAAGGCTCAATGCTCGGCCCCTTTTTGTTTCTTTTATATATTAATCTAAAAACTTCACTTGATTTTGAATCTTTGTTGGAGGAGAATCGATCCATCAAAAGTAAAGAAAATGATACAAATCCACTTTACACAGTTTTTGGTCTCAGTTTGAGACCAAAAACTTATAATAAAAAAGGTGGGTTATTATTAAACTTAGTTGGAACTAAGTAAAAGTAAAATACATTGGAATAATAAAGGCACGGTCATAATTGATAATGAAAAAAAAACCTGGAAGTAATATTGTTGATTTAATAAATGATTCACTAAGAACCTTAAAAAGAAGTGATACGATAGGGTGGGATGGATTTGCTAAAGCATTAAGAGATATTTATGTACCACTTACTGATATTGCAAATCCAAAGAGATGTGAGTTTATTAACTAGCTTCAAGCAAAAGATCTGAACAAACCCTCTGAGATTGAAGTTCAAGAGTATTATACACCGAGCAGTGGAGATACAAAATGTATAACTAAAATAGGGTTTTCTACTCCGAGCAGTAGAGATAAAAAATCTATAACTAAAATAGGTAAAAAGCTTGATTGGGATAAATGGACCCCGTACTAGAAGAAATTAACAGGATTTATTATGATCCATCTAATCCCGCTCAGGGCTCAATTCTCGGCCCTTTTTTTCTTGTATATATTAATGCCTTACCTTACACAGTAGGGGATAATCATGATATATATAGTATTATTTGCTGATGGCACTTCATTAATTTTCCAATTAAAACGACAGTTACTAAATTATGACGAAGTAAATAATGTTGTATTTAAATTAGTTTAATATTAATAAATTGCATTTCGGTGGCACTAAAACTATATGTATGAAATTCATTACTCCAAGTACAAACATGTTGGTACTAATTTAATTTTAAATGGGGAGGAGCTGTCTTGCTGATACCACCATTTTTCTTGGAATCATACTAGACGCAAAGCTATTGAAGCTGAAGGGCCCCATATATCAAAAGTAGCAAGCAGACTTAGTTCTGCAGCATATGCTGTAAAAAAGATAAGTCTTCCCAATGTCGGAACAGCTAGACTAGTTTACTTTAGCTATTTCCAGAGCATAAGTTTAAAAAATTTATTAAACTAAGTTTGTATAAAAAAGGTTATAGTATTAAGGAATTTATTGATGATAATAACCCCTAGTAAGGGTGATCGCTACCAAGCTATTTCTAATATTTATGTGTTGTTAATTGAAAAAAATCATGTAAGCTATTTTTTAAAAAAAAAGTCCCGCTGGGTTTCTTTCCGGTTCTTCCCAGGACAGAGGTTTTTTTCGAACCAGTGGTAAATTAAAAAAGTGACTCATTAAATATTTTTATAATCTATACTGAATAAAAAAGTTTGCTTTTGTTTCTGTTTTTAAGAATACAATTTATAAACGTCCCACAGTTGGGTACATGCCTCCCTCACTTCTGAGAGGGTTTTAGGGCAAGGAAGTGTCCGCTGCGCTGCCCTAATGCGTATTGGCGGACTTCGCATCTCAGACATGCAGATTTCCTCACGACGTGTCTCCCTTACCGCCGAGCACGTAGAAAATTAGCACTTAAAATTGTAATTTACAATTTCATTGATGCCGGCGGGGATCGAACCTAGGTTTCTCGCGTACTGTGAAATTTACAGCGAGCGCTAAGGCCCTGAGACACCACGACTCACATTTAATGAAAAAACTTAACGAATCCCATATAAACAGCCTAAATTTATTAAATTCATTCTTTTAATTTAATTGATTTAAATCAATATCAAATTGATGAATTAATAAAAGTTTTGTTAGAAAAAACGAAAGAAATCGTACTTGGACTAAACCATGGATTTTAAAAAGAAAGGAATGTGGATTATCTGCATTGCTTCTAGAATAACTTCGTAATGGAACATCTAGGCGGTCAACTACAAGTGTTCTTCTACAAAAACAAAGTTTTATATTCTGTTATCTTGTTAAAAAACACAACTAGTGTTAGGTAGTGTCAATGAGTATTATGAAGAAGAAAAACGCATTCTCACTACTACGTTAGTACTCTTATTAGTTGGTGCTCACTACACATTAACCGCTCAGCCACCAGCATGGAGTACTATAACTAAAAAAAGAGTTCACATGCGGTAGAATTAAAACTTTCGAATGAAATTAATACTATTTATAAATCAGATGCTGCCGACTAGCCGTTCATCACTCGAGGCTAGATCGATTTCAGTAAAAAAATTCGTTTGATTTTACTGCCACAATCCTGAAATCACCCATGCAAAGTGTGCGTCCCGGCGTGAATATAAAATAAAAATATTTCACTGCAAATTATTTATTTAATATCATAGTTTTCAACCACAAGTGCGGTGTAAAATATAATATTTAAATTACAGCAATCCTAAAGTAGTTTTCAGTTCAAAAATACATTAGCTTAATCGGTTACACGAAGCCAGTACACAAGCCAGAATAGTAAAAACTACTGTAAGAGGTGTTACTAGCTCAGAAATAGAGCCCCAGCCTTGGGTTAGACAGTTACTTACTAGCCCAGAAATAAAGGAAATTCTGTATAATATGAAGCCAGAGTAACTAGCTTGCTAACTTACAGGCACAAATTGCTATTCGTGCGTTACGTATAAAAAACATATTCGAATTATTATTTAACCGATAAAACAGGAGCAACAATCCGCTGGCGGTTGCATTCTCGCCAAAATCCACTTGCCTCGCTAATCGTTAGAGAAAATATAATTTTGCATATTATAAATAAATAAAAATACATAAAGGTATTAAAAGTTGATTGTTTTCACATCACTAAAAAAATGGGCGGAGCTTACAGCGTCCGCCATTTATTGTTTCAATTTGACACGATTTTATTGTAGGCTTGCCATCTCCTCTATATTCTATGCTCAAAGTCATAATCATCATCTCTAGTATATAGTCAGTAATCTATGGTCATAATCATTATAAATAAGTATGGTAATATCCAACTCTTATTAGTTTGTGGGAAATATGGATAATATGAAATCGACAAAATCTCCATTGTTTTGGCGTTCAATCGATATATTGATAAAGAAACCGCACTTAATTAATAAAAGATTATGGGGTTGTAATCTACTTCGTCAATATATTTGCGAAGTTTTGAACTGTAATTGGGAATTAGCATTACAAGACATGAAATTAGGAAATTCTACAGAAGTTGATTCTTTCATGGCCATTTTATTTGATAAAACGAAACTTAAACCTACTAATGGCTTAGATACACAAAATCACGGTGATACGATAGAAATTATTTTAATTGAATTGCTTCCTAAAACTTACACAGAAAGTCATGCATATCAATTAGTATGTTTGAAAAAGAAAGAACAAACTGTTACTTTTTATAACGTTACGCCCATACAAAACAATCAAAATTTGTGCCCAGACTTTATTTACAGCTTACAGTTACTAAATGAAGAAATTGTTCTGAATGGAAACAACGGTTAGTCTTATGATATTGTTTTTAATGTCATAATCTCTATGGTGCCACAATATGTAGTTATTATAATTGACTACATACTGCCACAACCCATAGTTGGTCATCAACTATAAAATTTATATAAGTAAATAGAAGATATTTGTGACAACATCATCCATTTAGGTTTAATTTGTAAATATGTGTTAGTTTAATATCTACTTTGAACTAATTCTGGGTTGGCACCACCATCTTGTGTGTGGCAGCATCGTTTCCGGGACACCTAAGATTTTGAGTGAGATTGAGAGCTATGGGCAGCTATACACATCATCGTTGGAGCCACATGCAAGTGTGAGTAACGATCCAAGAGCAAGTCTTATCCAACACTACTGATTTGATTCCAATGATATCCTGGACATCAGTCTGAGCGCAATTAGAATGGCTCTCCAGCACCTTAACAACGGCAGGCCCTCAAGCGAGGATGGAATTACAGCGGAGCTTCTGAAAGCAGGTGGACCACCGGTACTTGAAGTCCTTCAGAAGCTCTTCAATTCCGCCCTCCATGGTGGTACTACTCCGGAGGCGTGGAGCAGAAGTGCGGTGGTCTTGTTCTTCAAGAAAGGCGACAATGCTCTCTTGAAGAACTACAGACTGATTTCTCTTCTGAGCCACGTCTACATGCTGTTTTTGAGAGTCATTATGAATCGTCCACACCGATGACTTCCAGCCTCCCCAAGGCTTCATTACCATAGACCACATAAATACCCTGCGGCAGATTGTACAGAAGACAAAAGAGTACAATCTGCCACTTTGCCTGGGGTATGTGGTCGAAATTTGTGTGGTGCTACAGTCCCTTCAGCGCTGCCAAGTTGACTGTCATTATATCTAAGTGCTGAAGTGTTTGTACATTAGGGCTACAATGGCTATCCGAGTACAGAACCAGAGTTCAAAACCTATCTAACTGCAGATAGGTGTAAGTCAGGGTGACGTTATATCCCCGAAACTCTTCACTGCTGCCGCTACCGTATTAACATCAATGGCAAGTACATCACTCACCTTCGATTTGCCAACGATATAGTCCTTACGGTAGAATCGCTGGAGGACCTAGGCACTATGCTCAATGACCACAATGGTGTCTCCCAAGAGATAGGTCTTAAGATGAACATGGACAAAACAAAGATCATGTTTAATGTCGATGTCACACCTATGCCGGTAGTTGTTGGGAGCACTGTGCTCGAAGTTGTTGACGAGTATGTTTACCTGGGACAAATAGTCCGATTAGGTAAGTCCAAATTCGACTGAGAGGTCAATCGACGGTTTCAACTCGGCTGGGCAGCGGTCGGGAAATTACGACACATCTTCTCGTCAGGTATACCTCAAACTCTGAAAACTAGATTGTGCAACCAGTGCGTTGCCAGTGATGACTTACGGATCTGCGACGTGGTCCTTCACTGCTGGCCGTTTGAGGACCCTCAAGGTCGCTCAGCGGGCTATGGACAGGGCTATGCTCGAAGTTTCTGTGCATGATAGACTCAGAAATGAGGATATCTGCAGTAAAGGGTCAAAAGGGTCAAAAAGGTTAGGTGTCTTAATATCATCGGACCTCAAGTGGGCTGACCATATCCATAGTATTGTCAAAAAAGCAAACAGCATTTTGTATGCAATCAGACGATCGTTTCAGCATCTGACTCCAGATACATTGCTTAAGGTTTATAAAACATACGTCCGACCGCTGATAGAGTATGGATTTCAAATTTGGAACCCCTATTTTCTTAAGGATGTGGATTTGCTGGAGAGTGTACAGAGAAAAGCCACAAAAATTCCATTATGCCTTCGCAAAAAGCCATATGAAGAGAGATTAAAAATATTGAATCTAACAACGCTGAAATCTCGCCGTACCAGAGGAGACCTTATTGAAACCTACAAAATATTGACACATAAATATAATTGCAAAGAGCTGCCACATATTTTTAACATCAGCAGTATCCACCGACCTAGACATCCTAACTATATGAGATTGGCCCACACCCGCTCATACACTAATGTGGGACATCACACACTAAACAACAGAATCATAAACATATGGAACAAGTTGCCTCAAGACTTGGTAGATGCTCCCTCTGTGATTAGTTTTAAAAACAAATTGGACAAATGGTGTAAAGACAATCCAATTTAGTGTATTCCTAGTGTGAACTTGGACTAATATAAAACACCAACACAGATATAGGCATATCAGCTATAAGCTGCTCGCCTATTACAAGATAATAATAATAATAAAACCAGAGTGACCAACATAGCCCAACGGATTAGTAAGCTGAAGTGGTAATGGGCCGGCCATATAGCTCGAAGAACTGATAATCGATGGTGAAGAAAGGTTCTCGAGTGGCAGCCTCGTACTGGTAGGCGTAGTGTAGGGCGACCCCCCACTAGATGGAGTGACAACCTGGTAAGACATGCAGGAAGTCGAAGGATGCAGGTGGCTCAGGACCATGCTTTGTGGCATTACTTGGAGGAGGCCTATGTCCAACAGTGGACTTGTGAAGGGCTGTAATGATGATGTTACCACCATCTTACCTATTTCTGACACCAAGCATTCTTGTTTTAATTGAATCCATTTCATATAGGCTGGGCCTTGGGCTGCATAAGCCACTCAGCATTATGTGTACATGTCGGATATCTATTTGATATTACAATAAAAGTCTGCCAAGCTAGTTATGTGCCATGAGTAATTTTCCAATTGTCCAAATAGTTTTTTTAACTAAACATATTAAGCTAATACATTGCTTTCTTTTTACTAGAATGTCATAGAAGTTACCTTACAAGTAAAGGGTTAACGGCAAATCTTTATACATATATAATGAAAAATCTAATGGTTGTAGTAGTGCAGCTGTTGATCATAAGGTCACAGGCTTGAATCCCAGGTAGGAACAAAAAATTAGTTTATTGAGTTTTTCCACCAAGAAATTCTCAGTAGCTGCCCAGTCAAGATGTTGGTGGTGTCTCACCCCCATGCCTCGGAAAGCACATAAAGCTGTTGGTCCTGCACCTGGTCTCTCTCCAGTAGTACTGGTTCACTGTCCTATAGGTCTATGAGAATGAGGGAATAGAGGGTGTAGTCTCCTTTGAGGCTGGCCATCATGACGGTAATTCGGTTGGAAAATGGAAAATTATTAGAATTTGATTAGAAATATTATGATGAAAGTTTTTGTGTATTGGAATGGGTCTCTGAATGGTTTAGATTCACACTTCCACCTGGTAGGTGGTGCTGTTGTTAAGATCTAGAAATCACCTGCATGAAACGGGTGCAGATCGCTAGTGTCCTTTAAGTTACATCATGTGTCATGAGCTCATGCATTTTGAACCTTAAGTAAAATTATTACTTGTTACAGATCATGATTCTAAGTCCTACATATGGCTGTTGAATAAAGTGTTACCTCAAGTTATTAGATGGACAGACCAACCCGTAATAAGTCAGATAAACACATCAGCTTCTATTAAAGATTCTTTGAGTCTTGTGCCAAATAATGAATATTATACAAAATACAATTATCTTAAACTTAAATATGGCAAGGAGATGGTTAAGGTTTGTTTTTTTTAAACATCTTGTATCATAAATTTTTTTGGGGCAAACAAGCATGCGGCTCACCTGCAACCGCAACACCAGGGGAATTGCAGTGCGTTGCCGGCCCTTTAGAAAGGAGTAAGCTCTTTTCTTGAAGGTCCCCAGGTCGTACATTAACCCTTTTGCTGTCCTGTGGACTAATATGTCATTGCTATTGTCTATTGTGTCTGAAAAATGGACAGTAAAAGTGCTAAGTTTTGTAAATCAACTACAAATAAATCTAGCTAAGTGTTCCCTTTAAATACTGTTCAGGAGCACCCTGAGATCCAACCCACCAGTAACAATAAAATTGTAGATTGCAATTTATGGTCTCATACACATCGGCTGTGAAGGAAAACATTGTGAAGAAACTTGCATGTCTGGAGATTAAAATATTATGAAAATGTGAAGTCTGTCAATATGCTCTATTTAGAGAGGTGCAGCAGATTAATCACTCTATGTTCCTCTCAAAATGAGGGCAAACGTGTGTCCAGAAATATATGAGCAGTATTTATTTCCTTCTATCATACTGATATTATTTCTAGATACAAATTTGTAATGTTGATATTTTGTTATCATCATTATCATTATAAATCTGCTACTGGATATAGATATCTTCTATGAAAATACAAGGCACATTCTGAGGCTCCTTTATCAATCGCTTTCTATTTCTACATGCCTCATCAAGTAGCCTCTTCAGCAAGGACTCTGAATCTTTTTCTTCATTGCTAGACATGTGTCAATCATGAATGATTCATTTGTTTGAGCTGGTACACTTATAAGTATTGATGGTTCAGTTTTCTGTTTTTGAATGTTCCAGTACAACCAATCAGACACAATTGATGGAACCTTTTTAACTTGTGATTGGTGTAAATGAATCGAAAACAACCGACTCCCAAATGATATGAATGAATTGAAAGAAAATTTTCGGTTCCCAATGGATCTCACAGACTTACAGAGTACTTGAGCCCAAAATGATCCATTTGAATGATCGATGTGAATGTACCTACTGGTATACATGCTTGTTAGTTCTTATAGCTATACTGCCAAGCAAATTTGGTGTACTAATCACTTTTCTACCGTGAATTATCCCCATTAAGAATGTTATCACTATCATTCTATACTGGTTCATAAATTATATTTATTACTAAAGATTTTTTTTACAGATTTGGCCTGAAGGTACTGATCCAATAAAATTTGTTTATGAAGATGTTGCTATAGCCACATATTTATTGCTTCTTTGGGATAGGAAAAATTTGAATAAATTAACTAAACCAGTATCTTTTGTTGATGTTGGTTGTGGAAATGGATTGCTTGTGTATATTTTAACTAAGGAAGGACATAAAGGATTAGGAGTAGATGTACGTAAGAGAAAAATTTGGAATATGTATGATGAGGATATAAAACTAGAAGTAAGTATTTACAATAAGTAATTTGTAAAAGTATGATATTATTCCTCAGAGGTAATTTATAATAATATATAATTGTTTCTTTAACTTTAGGAAACAACTGTGACACCGGACAATATCCAAAAGTTTTCAGAATTTGACTGGATAATTGGTAACCATTCAGATGAATTAACACCATGGATACCTGTTATGACAGCAAAATCATCATACAATTGTAGCTTTTTTTTACTTCCATGTTGTGCTTATAACTTTGATGGTACTAAGTATCAGCGACAGAATTCATCAAAAAGTCAATACAATGAATATTTAGATTACATCTATAAACTATGCCAAGATTGTGGTTTCCATACTGAAATGGACAGACTAAAAATACCTAGCACTAAAAGAATATGCTTTATTGGCAGAAGAAGAAAGTATATGGAACATGAATATGATAACTATCAAACTACAATTTCTTATTTAGTTAATAATAGAAATAAAGTCATAAGAAATGAACATGAACATTTAGAAATAGATGGTTTCAAAACAAGAGACCCTGTAGAAAAAGTAAGAAATTGCACTCAAGTTGATAAAAATGTTATAGAGTCAATTATCAAGAACATTACCACATTTCTTTTGGATGGATGTGATTTTAAAAGCGAGTGGACTCCAGGAAAAGAATTACATATTTTTGAGTTAATTGATATTATTCCTCAAGATAAATTAAAAGTTTTAAAAGCAGAATGTGGTGGAATACAAACTTTGTTGAAAAATAATCATCATATTTTTAAAGTTCAAAATGGAAAAGTTACATTAAGACAACCAAAGTCTATTGAAGAAACTACAAAAAATATTAAAAAACAAGGTAAAAATAATAGTGTCATAAAAGTACAAGTAAGACCATGTTGGTTTTATAATAATCACCCACAAGGTTGTCCTCTGAGTGATACTAGCTGTAGCTTTTTACATACACACTGATATGTGTGAAGCTGGAATGTTTAATAAGTAATATATACAGATGTAATAAAAAAATGAATTTCTTTTTATAATTTTTACATAATTGCAAACAAATATAACCCCTCAATTATATATTTTTATATTTTTTCATATTACAACCAGATAATTATCATTACGTTGCACCTTTTTACATAGTTATAATTTGCTGAATGTTATCTATAAACAAATAGGTAAAATTTGTGTTGAAAACTCATTGTAATAAGTTGAAATTTTATAGTAAACCTCATACATCTACTTCAAAGTGTTTATTCAGTTCACTTAAGTTCCTTTCATCTACTAAACTTGCAGCATCATGTTCTCCCATGAAAGAACAAACCATTCTCAAAGTAGACCATATTGTTGAGGATCCAATATTTGATGCCAACGTATCTTGGTGCATGCTTTTAGCTTTGTTCTGTTGATTAAGTGCAACAAGAAAATGTTCTGCTGCTTGTTTGTGTACTCCTAAATTCATACAAGTAACACCAACATTATATCTTGCTCTTATAAATCCAGGCTCTATATTAAGAGCTTCGTGATATGCATTTACTGCTTCTTCTGATCTATTACTATTTGCTAAAGTTGCACCAAGCCTATTCCATAATTTTGCATTATCATTCGAGACCATAATCGCTGTTTGAAAACAATCTACTGCTTTGTCATATTCATGACTAATATTAAATATAACTCCAAGTGCATTCTGAACATCGGGATCTATTTGAAATGGATTTAACTGTGCTGCTTTTAAGTACAATGATTTGACATGACTCTCCAATTCTTTTAAGTCTAATTTTTGAATATCTATATCTCGAGGAATTAAATCACTATATTTAGGGCTTGCATTCAACCAATTATATAATGCTATAAATGCAAATTTTGGCATGTCTTCATTGGTGTACGCAGCTGCTAAAGTAATATATGCTTCTAGTTGCCGTGGATCAATCTTCAGAGACTTTTTTAATGCTGTGATGGCTAACGGATCTTGCTCATTTTCAGCCTGTGTGGTACCCAAGAAAAACCAAGCCTCAGCTGAAGTAGGTTGTTGTTGTACAGCAGCTTCAAAACAAAGTACAGCACCTGGTATATCTCCCATCTTCAGTTTCTCCTTTCCAAGTTCAAAAGCACTTTTGTTTTCTAACATGACATTTCCTTCAGTAAATGAGTATTCCTCTGGAATTCCATCAGTTGTTGATAATTTCCAATCACCAGTAATATCACTTAATTTAGACCATTCGTCTTTATATTTTTCTGCCATTTCATCAATCATCTTATCTTTACCCATTGCCCTTTCATTTCCTTGCACTGTTTCTCCTAAATTTAACTCTCCAGCACTTATTCGCTTCATAAAGGACATAAACTGATTATATTCGTCATCATTTTCAACAGTTTTTACATATTCTTGAGCTTTCGCACGCACATCACTATCCTGAACATCCTTAAGTTCAGATTCATCCATATACTGAATATTTACATTAGTTAGTGCCGGCTGCTGTGTCAAAACAGGTGGATATGGTGCTGAAAATGCTCGCATCATGCTTGTTTGTGGTAAAAAGGAAGACGATGGTCCTGGTAACCAGATAGGTTGCTTTTGAGAACTTACGTTTATATTGTTACTGTCGTTAAGTAAGGGTGCATTAGTTTGTGCCTTAAGGTTTTCCACATCAGGCATGGTTTTTAATAGGGTATTCATATTAAATGTTTGAGGTGTTTGAGAATTTTGAGCGATAAATTCATTGACAAATCTGTCAGCTTGCGAAAGTGATTGTGAAAGAGAAGCATCACGACCAACAATGTTAGACAATTGAACAAGTGAATTGTTTCCACCACAATCACCTCCAATTAACTTATTTAAAGACATTTTTTACTAAGTAAAAGCCCACTGTATGTCCGATATAGTAAACTAAATTGCTAAATACTAGAAACTTATAATTCGTTCTAGAGGGTTCGAAGGGCAAACATTTTAACGTGAACGAGATAATGATATTTGTATGATTTGTATTATTATGTTAATAGTAAGAAAATGTCAATTACGAGAGAAGGGCTAGGAGTGAGGCATAGGCATGTCGATCTAAAATCGAATAATTGAAAAAAAAATCGATGCGGTGCTGCAAATCGGTTATCTGGAGTAAAATAATCGTTTTGGAGCACCGCATCGATTCAATGAATCGATCCAAAAACCTCTCGAATCGGACTGATTCATCTGATTCAAGAACTAGCGATAAAGTTCCCATACAGACACTGCCGGCTACAGCTGAATGTTATATAGATGTGTCGCTCTTATTGCCGCAGTATTTACGTTAAGATTGTTTAATGTATTTGTATAATTTTATTTTTGAATTCATTGTTTAAATATAAAATAATAGTGAAAAAAATATAGATTATTAAGCATTTACTTATATCACCGTAACAGATATTAATAAAATAATTTACTATGTTTTGTTTAATCAAGCTTATCGAAATGTGGAAAAAAATCATACCAAATTTAAAACTAAACTAAATTGACTAGTTATAGTTTTTACGATTCTCCAATCAAGGCAGGTAAAGGAGGTCTGTAAACATACAGCATAATCTGATGTGAATTTTGACAACATCAAACAAATATCGCTACACACGTTGTCAACTAAGATGGAATGCCCCACAGCCTGTAATCATGCATAAAACATAAAGTTTATGTAACTATAAAAGTTCAATTTAAGAAGATATCGTAAATTATGGTAACTTAATGTTTCAAAATGTCGCGATTAATCGAAAATCGATCTTTTAATCCTCCATTTAATCGATTGTAGTATGTTCGATTCGAATCGATCCAGCGATCTTTTTTTAAGAGTGAGTCGACATGCCTAGTAAGGCATAGATAAATAAATATGTAGCAAACTAGAGTGAGGCGTAGCGTATGTATCGTAGCAGTTAAAAAAACCAGGTATCTTAAAATAGCAGACTGTAACTGTGACAAGAAAACTGAAAGAACAGCTCCTGTTCCACGAGATAACAAATCCATTAAAAACAGTCACAAGTTTTCAGTTTTTCTTTATTTATACATACACAGTTTGTTAGAATAAGATGAAAAACGTCACAAGCTCTTTCCTTTTATCGCATTGGTTCAACACCTTTGAAAGAGAAGTACCCTATGGAAGTATTTTAAAATAGCAGACTGTTACTGTGATAAACAAACTGAAAGAACAGGTCCTGTCCCACGAGATAACAAACACACTAAAAGACAGTCACAAGTTTTTCTTTATTCATACATATTACAGTTACCTTTGTTAGAACATGATAAAAAATGTTGCTGTCGACCCTGTTACAAGTCACATGCTCTTTTCTTTTCTCGCGTAAGTTCAACACCTTAGAACGAAAAGTACATATGAGGGTGACACTGAAAGTTCTTAGAAAATAAAAAAGACGTGTGGCACTAGGGGACTGCCGCGGTAAAGCTATTGCATAGCATTTTTTATCAACTTATGCAATTATAATTAATTATTTATTTTATTTATGCAGTTAAGTCTTCAATATTAAATCAAGTTACACTTTTTGAGCGTGGTGACAGATAAGAAAACAATTTTTTTTCTCTTATTGTATAAATGAGAAGTTAATATTGTTTAAAATATTTCTAATATCTTACAATACATGTAGGTTATTCAGGAATTTTTATCATTCAGTTAGCAGCTAGTGTACACGCATACGACTAGTCGCACGCACACAAACACCGTGCCGAAATCTGCCGAGTGCCGAAGTCTGCCGAACTGAAACGACGTTAGACGATGCACGGCTTTCAACGCCACACCTCCGTGCCCATCGGAGTGGGGAGCGTGAGGTTTTTTCGTTACGGTATTTCTGGATTCGGTCCCCGCGCTCAAGGCCCGCGATAGAAGCTATGCAATAGCTTAAAAATACTGAACAAAGTAGTAAGTTTTCAGTTATATTATATCTTTTCAAAATAGTGTGCATTTACATCAATATATCGCTGCATCCGATGGAACCACTAAGAAAAGCACTGCCCACTCGTCCTTAGGGGTTTCTTCGACGGCATTTTGAAACGCAGCCACTGCTTCCTCGGTGTCCATAAAATGTTCCCTTCGAAGTTTTTCTTTTATTTTTGGAAATAAATAAAAATCGCAAGAGAGAAGGAGAACGATCGCTACGTGCTAAAGCATAGTCCCTAAACTGCCGTCGGTAAGTAGTATCTGTGAAGCTAACTGTTTATGTGTACAAGTCACTGAACTCTATATTTACAAGTACGCTGGACTGGCTATACCATACAAAATGTCTGTGCCAATTTGAAGCGCCCCTAACGGTCGTCTTGGAAACACAAACTGACATAATATGCCAAAGTCTGTTGTCTTATTTAAATTGTCATATTTAAAAAATCTGTATTTTGAACTTTTGAACTAAAAAACTAAAGTATTTTATGTTGTTTGATTGTGTATAATATTAGTTACATAATAAGAACTATTTTTAATAATAATGAGAGTGTGCGTACCTAATCTGTAAAACTCGTTACCAAAAGGGAAGTGGTATAACATTTCACAAATAAGTGAATTTGCAGCTAATATTTAACAAATTAAAAGTATTTGATAATAATAATACTTAAAAATTTCTTACTATTATCATATATACCAACATGTTTGGCTGTATATTACTGAGTTATGATAAACAATAAAATTCAATAGGGTCGTCGAGTTCCTTGTCTATAATACTTATCGATGTTTTTCCTACCCATATCTGTTAACAAACAAAGTCGCCAACAACAGATGATTAACAAATGCTTATTAATTAACAGGTTTCCAACTGAACCTAGACTAAAATTATGGCTTAAAAGCATAAATAATGTGAATTGGCGTTCAAAACAAAATGATCATATTTGTTCTGAATATTTCACACACGACTGTTTTATTAGACATGAGAACTGCACTACTTACGAGAACACACTTTGAAAAAGTGCAGTATACCGACAATATTTTCAGGTAGTACCTGTACCAGTAGGT